AGACCAGTTTACTGGTGATGAATTCCTTGTATAAATAGCATTTCATTCCTCCTTCAAATTTGAGTTAAGTGGGTAGTCTTTTTGGTTGCATGGGAGGTCTTGTCATTCAGCACTTAGTATATGTCATGTCACTCTTTTCTGGCCTCTAGACTTGTTATGAAATCTGTTATGATGCTATGTTATTTTATGGTGTTATGGGGTAATATAAGTGTGAATCTTAGCTTTACTCTTGTTCATTTGGGGATTCTTTTTATCTTTGAATACTGCCATTTTACTTATAACTTATCTTGATATGCATAGGGATTTATTTTGTTTGGGTCTTTTTGAGCTTCATGTATTTGGGTGTTTAACTTCTTTCTCAGCCTGGGGATATTCTCAGCAATGTTTTCTTAAAACAGGAATTCTGGCCTTATCTCTTCTCTTTGTGGAACTTCTATGATATAAATGTTCTTCCTCTTCATGTTCTTCCCTATACTCATACTATTATCCTATTATCGTTATCTTAATTTTTTCTTCTTGCTGCTCTTTCTTGTTTTTGTTTTTGCTTATGGGGGTGGTGCACTTGGAGTTGTAAGTGGCTATTCCCACAAGTGCTTAAGTATTGTTCCTGGCAGTGTTCAGGGACCATAAGCAGCACCAGGGGTCAAACTGGGGCCCCTGCATAAGGAGTAAGCCCTCAACCTATTAAGCTATCTTCCCTTTTGGTATTTTTTGGTAATTCCCACTACTTTAACTTAGAACTCAATAATTCAATATTTGTCTTTAATTCTACCATTGGTCCCTTTATTAAACCTTTTCTAGTTAAGCTACAACATTCTTTGTTGTATTTTTTCCTACTTTATACTATAATTTGTCGTTGTTGAGATTTTCTTCCACTGCTCTTTTCATTTCATGGAGCACTATCTTAAAATCTTTAGGTAGCTTGTATGGCACTATTGTATTGTCAGTTCTTTGCAGACCTTTGTCTTGATCTATCTGAAAAAAAAAAAAAAAAGAGGTTCCCAAACTTTGACTTACCACCCACTTTTTAGATAAAAATCACTCAGTATTGCCTTAAAACCAACAAATTGCACCTCCCTCCAATTGCACCTGAGATCTCTACCAGCCATACACCACCCATAAATTCCTGGTCTCTTTTGTAATTTGTCAAGATAAATTAGAATGCTTCCACTTTTTTACAATATAGCATTCACATTTGCTATGACGCCTACCACTTGTCTGTAATCTTTTCATTTTCAAAAATACGTTGCTATTGTGTCCACTCATACTGCTGTACTTGAGGATTCCTGCCTTTCCCAGCACTCTTTTTACATAACTTCAGTGAGGGGTTGTAAGGTACTTAATTATATTCATATTTTAATTGACAAAGCAACAACTTTTTATCATCTCTATTCATAAAACAATTTTGTTTGCCTCCTGGACCACTAAGAAAACCAAAATATATTGTCACCCAGCTCGTAACTTTTTCAGTACAACAAAACCAAAGATGATCTCTACAGAGTCCAGTTATCTACTATGCATCTAATTATCTTAGCTACATTGTAGATCACAATAAGCTAATGACAGCATACTTAAGTTTTGCGTCCAAAAATATGATTTTGTCATAGGCTAATAATTGCTCGGTCCTTTGGCAACTAGGTCATACTAACAAAATTTTTGTGAAGTCTACCTACAAATAAAAATTGTTATCAACTTGTATGTTAGCCATGGGCATTAATGTTGAATTACTAATAAACAGCATCTGGTGTTAAATATATATATATATACTGTAAAATAAATAAAATATTCTAATTGCATAAGTGTAATATATGCTCAAAGTGTAGGTCTAAGATTATAAAAAAACAAGCTTATTTATTAATGACAAGATGCTATATTTTCTATACTCTAATTTGTCAAATGACTATCAAAGCCCTTATTTACAAATATTATATTATAAAGAAACTTCATGACAACGAGGATTTATTTGGGGGAAGGGTGTAGGAAATTGCCACAGACAAGTCTAGACTAATGTATACAAGCTTTTATATGTGTCTTCTTTACAAAGCCTACAAGCACCATGATCAACAGATTTTAACCTGGTATACACACACATAAACCTGTTTCTTTAGATTTGCAAACATGGTGTGTTTTTATTTATACTCTTACAACGCTATCCTAAGGATTACCCTGAGTAGTTGTCATCTTCTTCTCCTTCTTCTTCTTCTCCTTCTCCTTCTCCTTCTTCTCCTCCTTCTCCTCCTTCTCCTCCTCCTCCTCCCTCCTCCCCTTCCTCCCCCTCCTCCCCCTCCTCCTCCCTCCTCCTCCCTCCTCCTCCCTCCTCCTCCTTCTTCTTTTCTTTTTTTCTCCTCCTTCTTCTCCTTCACCTTCTCCTTCTTCTCCTTCTTCTTCTTCTTGGAACACAAAGTCTGAACCCTTGAGAACTGACATACCTGTCTTCCACTGGCATTTCTGCATATTTCTTCTTGTGTGTTACACAGGGCAGGGAACCAAAAGCTGAAGCTTCCTGTCATCTGCAGCTCCCTGACACCATGCCAGACTTTAGCATACTTCCCACACATACTTGCCCCAGGTGTTCTCACCCTTCCCAACCACATCTCATTGTTTCAATCTAACTTGTACATATTTACACACACACACACACACACACACACACACACACACACACACACACGCACGCACTTTGGCAACTGATATCTTCCAGACATCTGTTTCTTTTCTCATCACCCCCACAGCCCCTAGGAATTCAGCTCCATTTTTCCATACAATTTCAAGATCTAATACTTCTTTGGTCTCACTTTTTAAATTTATTTTGTTTTGCTTTGGGGTAGGGAGGGGGTCACATTCAGTGGTGTCCAGGGCTTATTCCTGGCTCTCTTTATTGATCATGACCCCTGATGGTACTGAGGCAACCTTACCAGGTAAGGTGCCAGGGATTAGAATCAGAATAGACTAGATACAAAGCAAGCACCTTAAACCCTGTGCTCTCTCTCCAGCCCAAGATCTGATAATCTTAACCCAGCTTTTCATATTTTAATCTAGTTTCTGTCTTTCAAGACTAAATTGTGTTGCTAAAGAAAATAAAATTAACAAGTCATTTATAAACTTAAAGTTAAGGTTTATAAAGATTAGGTTTATGAATCACTTGTTTCTAACACCATTTTTCTTTTATATAAACTTTAGGTTTATAAATCATTTGTTTCTAACACCATTTTTCCTTCCCTAAAATCAAAAGTAACTTGAAGGGAGGTATTGAAAATCTAAAAGAGACATTTAATTTGGTTTAATATTTGCATAATTAGCACTTTCACACACTTCAAAAGATTATGTAAACATATGGGTAGTCACCTGACTATAAAAATGTTTTTAAAGTCTTAACTGACAGACACATAAACAAATGTCTTACAGCTAGACTGGAGTTCTGTCAAGCAATCTGTGCTTTCTCCTTTTAATTTCTGTGTAATCTTGAATATTGCTATACCTTTCATCCCCAAATGTAATTTATGAACCTATATTCAGTTTTCATAATATCTATTGTCTTCACCATGTGATCTTCCTGGGGGGGAAATGGTACTAATTTCTCATGGAGCAAGAATTATTCATTGTAATAAGTAAAACAAATTTTATGCAGCTTCTTAAACTTCTCTCAGGATAATTTCCAGAGGATAGGTAAAGATGATGATTATGAGGAAAGAGGGGAAATGCAGAAAAAATAGAGGGAATGATGTTTGAATTAAGTGCCTTCCAGCAACCCACCCTTTATTTTGTTATACAGGAATTGTAGATTGCCAGTAATATATTTTGAGGTTATAAACAGTGAACTATTAATAAAGGTAATTGAATATATAATGAAATTTTACTTTAATGAGGTGGGTCTTTTGTTGGCTTGAGGACCACGGCCTGCAGCTCTCAGGGGCTATTCCTGGCTCTGTGCTCTAGAGTGATACTTGGCAGTGGCTCAGGGATGCTGGGGATAGAACCTGGTCAGCCACATACAAGTAAGCACCTTAACCCCTGTAATATCTCCTCAGTCCCTTTAATGAGGTGGTTTTTGGTTTTCTGGCTTTGGAGTTTGGTTTGGAGGCTACACCAGTTGGTTTAATAAAGTGTTCTTATTTTTGGTTTTTGTGTTTTGTTTTGGGGGCTGCACTCTGTGGTCCTTAGGGCTCACTCCTGGCAGTGCTTGGTGGACCACATGGGCTGCCCGTAATCAATCCCAGGTTGGACATGTGCAAGTCAAATGCCTGGCCCGCTGAAATCTCAAACCCCTTTAATTGATTTTATCTCAATGCATAATGGTTTGCTTTAACATTAACACCATTAATGAGGGCAAAATGCAAGTCTGTATAGTTGGAGCTTGGGATACACTCGACGTTGCTTCGGACTTACTCCTGGCTCTGTGCTCTGAATGGGGCTGAGGAGACCTTATGGGATGCAGGTCGGTCATCCACATGCAAGGCCTTATTCACTGCTGCTGCTGCTTCTCCTCCTCCTTCTTCACCACTCCCACCTCCCATCCCCTCCACACATGCCCATAGATTCTCCCTGATTGTGCACAGGGAATGTCTGTGTATTATCTTTCACATCAACGATCGCGCTTGGTTTTCTGGCAAAGATGATGAATCATCACAAGATTTTGGCACCCAGAGTAACCAGGCTGGGCAACTATCTCAATACACACGACTTCAAGCTGCTACGAGGAAGCAGCAAAAGAAAATTAATTGACAGTATGTCCTGGGCTGCCAGTTTCTGTTAGCCGTTGGTTTTCACCAACGCTTCTCCTTACTCAAAAGCCTCTCTTGGAGCAGTCCAGTAGGCGTGTGAGTTTGGCGGCAACGACATCCACCCGCACCTTTGTCTCCAGCGCTAGCTCGGCGCAAGGCACGCCGGAACTCACTGAACAACACCGGCGTCACCCTGGCAACGGGCGCACGCGGTTGTCATGGAGACGGGCGCTGGCGCCAGCTTCCCCAAACGGCCGCCTACGGCAGCATCCCGGCAGGATGCTTCACCGAGGCCCCAAGGCCTCGGACAGGAGAAGACATTTGAGCGAAATCCTCAGCTGGCACCAAGACCAGGCGTTGAGCAGTAACATCTACCTGCTGCGGGAAATGGGACCAACCGGCTTCCTACTGCGGGAGGAGGAACCGGAAAAAAAGAATTTCCGAGTAACTACCACCAAATGGGCTCAGCGGGCTGTAGTCTCCTGGGCCCGCCCCGGGGTTAGCCGCCAGAGAAATCCCCGCGGTGCTACTCCCCACAGGCGAGAGTTCCAGATTCTAAAACTGGGCAGATAGCAGAGGATTTGCTAAAAGTATTTCGCTTCTGGAGCTAGGACTCCAACTCTTGCTTGATTGTTAGGCACTAAAGATCGAACTACTTCCTAGCAATCTAGCAAAAGCAGGGGACAGCTGTGTGGTTTGTTTTAGGCGCATCTTTGCATACCTTCCTCGCACTCTAGTCCTATAACTTGAAAGACATGAAAACCCAACAGTCTGTTTTTATAGCAGAAATATTCGCTAAATAAATTGCACTGATTTTTTTTTATTTACCCTTAAATCACTTTGAAGCTATAGCAAGTCATTTTTTGTTTGCTTGGGGGCTGAGCCCTGCAATGCTGGGGCACTACTCCCAGCTCTGTCCTTACTCCCTTGCAGTGCTCGCAGACACCAGATGAAACTGCAAGCACTTGGCCCTTGAGCTATCTCACCCCATAACAAGACCCTATTTTATTTATTTATTTATTTATTTTTATTAGTGAGACACCATGAGGTACAGTTGTAGACTTACAAATTTTTGGGCTTGGGTTTCAATTATACAATGATTAAATACCCATCCTTCCACCAGTGCCCATTTCCCACCACCACAGTCCCAGTATCCCTCCCACCCCCCCATTTCCCCCCCCCAGCCCACCCTGCCTCTGTGGCAGGGCATACCCTTTGTTCTCTCTCTCCTTTTGGGAACAAGACCCTATTTAATAGTGATGTCTTAAAGAGGTTTTGATAAAGGAAAATTCTTTTAAATTGTATAAAAAGATAATTGTTTCATATTAATATATTGCACTCAGCACTAAAATAATTAGTCCAGTACCACCTCCCAGGAGTGAATTTGGAAATTTTTTACTATTATGCATTTGAGGGTAAGGGAGGAGTGAGTGTTTGATGTCACACCCAGAAGTGTTCAGGACTTAGTCCTGGCTCTGTGCTCAAGGATCACTTTTGTCAGGGCTCTGGGGACCAACAGTATGAGTGCTGGGTATCCAACTGTGTCCATGTGCAAGTCAAGTCCCCTACTGCAGTATTATTGCTATGGCCCCAGTGTCATACATTTTAAATAACATTGTAATACTATGTTTAATATCACTTTGCACTGTTGCTTGTAACATACTAAATTGTTTCACTCAATACATTTGGTGAATAAAATTAAACTAACCAACTCAAATGCAAAGAATTAACATGCAGTATAAAAGATTTCTCCACTGCTAGGGAGAATTTCAGTGAGAAACTTCTATATTTTTTATGTTTTTAAGATTAGATTTTTCTAATTTGTAAGGATGTAATATATTGCATGGTGCCTGTAGTTAATACTGTATTGCATATTTGAAACATTCTTCAAAGTTCTGGCCACACAAAAATGTGTCTGTGTATAATGACAGATATTAAATAGACTTGAAGTGGTTTCATAACATGTACAAATATCAAGATATTATATTGTAACACATGGAGCTAATATAATGTCATATCAATTATGCCTCAGCAAAAATAGATACAGAGGTTTCATCTCCTTAAAAAAAAGTCTTACTTGACCATGCAAGCTGTTGACCAGGCAATGAATATGCAGGTGAAAAATCAGACTGAATCAAGTTAAGATATTCCAACGGGTAAGCAGCATTCAGGGGTCTCCTAAATCTATTAATCCAGTTCTCAGTTAACTTAATTTTACTCTAACTATAAACATTAATTGGAGTTTCAAAGATTTTATTTTTCTTTTAAAGGTTTTTCTAGGAAACCCTCATGTTTGTGATTGTTCCACATTTTTGAAAGAAAAGGAACTCTGTAAGCATATATGCTGGTAAGTGATTCTGTAAGAAAAGTCTTCCACAAAGAAATAAAATTATGTATATTACACCTTTTGCCCCTTTGTTTTCATAGTTTGAATGCTGCAAGATAAGGAAATTTACTCTTGGAAAAATAAAAACTGGGGGTGATGTGTGTGCTAGAGGGAGCATAGGAACACTGGCGGCAGGAAATTGACACTACTAAGTAGAACTGGTGTTAAAATAGTATATTCCTAAAATTCAACCATCAACAACATTATAAATCATGTTTCTTAATTAATTTTTTTAAAATTAAAGAAAAATATAAGGGTAAAATGGTTATATCTTATCAAAATAGTTTCTGGTATTTTCTTTCTGAACATTAAGTTTTACGTTGACAGACTTGCCTCTATATGTTTTGAATGTTTTTAATCAGAAAAATTATTCTTACTATGTACAGCCCAAGACTTTTTCTGTTGAGTTTAAAATATTTTCTTTAGGGCTGGAGCAATAGCACAGTGGGTAGGGCATTTGCCTTGCATGTGGCCAACCCGGGTTCGATTCCTAGCATCCCATATGGTCCCCTGAGCACTGCCAGGAGTAATTCCTGAGTGCAGAGCCAGGAGTAACCCCTGAGCATCACCGGGTGTGACCCAAAAATCAAAATAAACAAATAAGTAGATAAAATATTTTCTTTAATGTTAGAAGCTATTTGTAAGAAAATCCCAGGAATTAGTTATTATAATTTATATTCAGTTTGAACCAAAGTAAAGTAAAAGTAAAGTAAAGGCCCTCCCGTTGATCATCGATTTGCTCAAGCGGGCCCAGTAACGTCTCCATTGGAGACTTTGTTGTTACTGTGTCTGGCATATCGAATACGTCACGGGGAGCTTGCCAGGCTCTGCCGTGCGGGCGAGATACTCTCGGTAGCTTGCTAGGCTCTCCGAGAGGGGCGGAGGAATTGAACTCAGGTCGGCCATGTTGGCTGCGTGCAAGGCAAATGCCCTACCCGCTGTGCTATCGCTCCAGCCCAGTTTGAACCAAACTCACTTTATTTTATTTCCATATATTTATACCAACAAATCATTATTTTTAAAATATCAAGAAGTAAATGAGGGGCAACTTGCATTTCAATATTTTTTAAAAATTAATCTTCGGTATTTTCTGTTAGCATTTGATTCCTAATAAATATTAATACAATATATTCAACTTTTATCATATACAGAAATAGTCCTCTTATTATATATGGTTTTTATTCCTCACAGATGAAACATTTGGGGAAATTATATCAAAAAATATGTTTTAAATATTCATGTAGATCATTTCAGTGTTACTATAGATTAATCAAAGCATGAAAATTTCTGTTCTTATTTTTGTACTGATGTTTATTTAATCTAACTCATTTTTTACTATGTTTTAGCCATAAAATAAATGTAAATATAATTTACTATTTAATATGCTATAGCTTATAATGTTTAAGTGCAAATTTAATGTGCATTTTATATTTAAAGCCATAGTACACTTTAAATGTTGATGATTGAAAAGATTTTTTTCTGTCATACATTAAATGGTATATGTTTTGAAACTGTTAAATTGGTCCTCTATCCAAATAATTATTTCATTTTCAAAAATAGAAAACTTCTAGAGAATTTTAAGGAGAATATTTGAAAACCTAAATTCCCTCACTGTTTCTATAAACAACTCTAAAAACAAACAAACAAAAGCTCACATTGATTTTTTTTCTGGGAAGTCACTTTACTGCATATGTCTTTGGTTTCCCCTTATCATACTTTTCACATATGCTATTTTAACTATTTGTGATTAAAATAGAAAGTTAATGACAATTTAAATGTATTTATAAACACTTTTTAAGCAATATAAATTCCATAATATTGCTATTCCTTTTCTAAAATTAAAGCAAAACTATATATTTTAAAGTTATGTCAAAAAATGAAAGTTCAACTTTGTTTTCTACCTGTGAATATTAGGATCTTACTGAAAAAATTCAAGCTTCCAAGAACTCATGAATGTAAGTTTCTTTTCATTAACTGAACTTAATAGCATCTTTAGGAACTTTTATTTATGCTTTCTTAATTTTTACAATTTAACATCTATCTATAGCTAAATATGTTATGTAAGACAATTGTAATGTTCTTTTTGTATACCATATTTTGTATACCATATTCAAATTCATGAAGCAGTAATTTAAAAGAAGTGAAACAAGACAGGTTTTTCAGTAGAAAAAAACTACCTAGTATTCTAAGCAAAGATTCACAGTGATTTCTGAATCTAAAATATTTTTAATTATGAGAAAAACAGAATAATTATTTGACAGTAGAAATAGATATTGGGATCATGTAATTTAATGCATATTTTTTAAATTAAAACTTAGTGTTGGTGATTAAGCTGAGTTTTGAATCAGACATAATTAGCACTTGTCCTCCCGTTGTTCATCGATTTGCTCAAGTGGGCACCAGTAATGTCTCATTTGTGAGACTTCTTGTTACTGTTTTTGGCATAGTGAATATTCAATGGGAGCTTGCCAGGCTCTGTCTTGCGGACAGGGTACTCTCGGTAGTTTGCTGGGCTCTCCAAGAAGGGTGAAGGAATCAAACCCAGGTCAGCCACGTGCAAGGCAAACATCCTACCTGCTGTGCTGTTGCTCCAGCCTAGACATATAATTATGAACTTAAAATTCTAAAGTCTTCAAAAATAAAAGAAATCAAAATAATTTTACACAGATCATTTAGATTTACATATTTTGTAATAAAAATGCTGTCATCATAGAAGTGTCCCCCAAATAGTCTCTCCTATTACATTCCCAACTTTCATAGCAACATTTCCTTTTGATTTACTTTCCAAAGTTAGAAGCAAAAGTATTCTCCTTGATTTTTGCTCTCCTCTCTTCTTTCTTGTATTTTAGAAATCCTATATAGTCATTCTACAACTCAATTTCTGTTAACCTTGACAACTCTCAACATTATCTCTCCATCCTCCTTCCTTTGTTCAACCTTCGACAGCCCTTAGACTTACTGTATATTGTATTCTCATTATTGTCTATGCCTGCAGTTTGTTGCTTTCTCTTTTCACACTGTTGAGAAAAGTTTTCTCTAAGATGTCACTTAGTCTCCAATTTATTCTTTCACCCACTCCTTGGGCTGAAGCAATAGCACAGCAGGTAGGGTATTTGCCTTGCATGCGGCCAACCTGAGTTCAATTCCTCCGCCCCTCTCTGAGAGCCCGGCAAGCTACCGAGAGTATCTCACCTGCACGCAAAGCCTGGCAAGCTTCCCGTGATGTATTCAATATGCCAAACACAGTAACAAGTCTCACGATGGAGACATTACTGGGCCCGCTCAAACAAATCGATGAACTACAGGAGGACAGTGATACAGTGCTACCCACTCCTTACAAACCCGATGATTAGATTGTATGACTATTTCCTTCTCTGTATCTCCTTTTTATTTACCCAGAATGTTCAAATCTTCTCCAAAGTCATAGTTATTCTCTGCACTATTGTGTATAGTTTTATCAAGCTTCTTTACTAGGACTTCCCAATAGCATGTCATGTCATTTGAGGGGGCTGGAGAAATGACAGGGAGGAGGCAACAGCCTAAGTGGGAGAATAAGCATTCAATCAGGAGGTGGAGATGGGTGCTGAAAGGTACCGTTGCTTAAAACCCTATCAGGAACACTACTGTAAACCACAGTGCAAAAGTTTATTACTATTGTTTTTTAAAGTTCCTCTCATAGAAGCAGGCTAGTGGGTGGGAAGTAAATGGGGGTGGGGGTGAGGGTGGGAGATAGCCCAAGGGAAGTAAACACTGGCTAAGGGATCCGTGTTGAATCATTGTATGCCTGAACCCAATCATGAATAATAATTTCACAGTTCTAATTTTTTTAAATAAAAAAGTAAGATATGTGAGCGACATGCAATTTTCTAGTTATCTATATAATTTAAAAGTTTTCTTTTAAACTCAAGAAATTAATCTTAAAAAGTCAGTTTACAATAGGGTTTATACATCTTAGAGGTGTTATGTTACCACACTGTCCACACCGGAAGTGTCAATAAGCTCCCACAATCAAAGTGCCAATAACCCTTCCTCACAGGCCACAGGATCTTTCTCTTCCACTTTTTTCTCTCCTGACATCCTTAGGTAATTTCAGTTTCATAGTCAAGAGTCCTAGGGTTTCTTTTCATTGGGTATCATTTATTTCCTTATTTTGTTTCTCTGTGAATGAGATCATCCACTTTTTGTCTTTCACCTTCAAATTTACTTTGTTTAGGACTAGTGAGGGAATTCTAGGGTAAAATGTGCTTGTCTTGAATATGGCCAGCTCTGCTTGATCCAGGGCTGGAGCGATAGCACAGCGGGTAGGGCGTACGCCTTACAAGCAGCCAACATGGCCAACCCGAGTTCGATTCCTCTGCCCCTCTCGGAGAGCCCGGCAAGCTACTGAGAGTATTGGATATGCCAGACACAGTAGCAACAAAGTCTCCAATGGAGACGTTACTGGGCCCGCTCAAGCAAATCGACGATCAACGGGAGGGCATTTACCTTTACCTTTACCTGCTTGATCCTCAGAACCACATATATTTTTCTGATCACAGAGCAAGGAATAGCCTTTGAGCACTGCTGGGTGTCGCCCAAACACCACTCCACACAAATAGCACATTTATTTGCTTACTGTGACACCAATTAATTCCATCCATGAAATATATATTATACACACTTGTTCTCTGTCCACTAATTAGATAAGTGGTTGTTGCCAGGAGTAGAATTCTGGTTCCTATGTTACATTTATGTTTCTCTGTTGTTTTGATGTTGTTATTCTTAATTTATTTGTTTGGGAGTCACACCAGCTGTGCTCAAGGCTTAGGGGTCACTCTTGTCAGGCTCAGGGGTCCATATGGGGTGCTAGGGGTAAAACTACAATCAGAAATTAGTCTTAATAATACATTTAAATTTAATCCAATTTATAAAATATTATCATGTCAGTAAAAAGATTAATTTTAAATTTGTTTTATTGATATTTAAATTAGAAATTGACAACATTTAATGAAAAGTTATTAGTAGCAATTTGAATCTTTTATAAATCAATTTTTCACCTTTAGACCTGCATATCAAGTATTTCAAACAAAAATTTACTATGTTGATTGAAATTCACTATGAGTATAAAGCACACACATGCTGCTCCATGGTATTGAACACTTTGGTGTGGAGAGGTGAAGTAACTGTACATCAAAATTAACATTAACACTATTGTAAACTGTAACCCAAACTATAATAAATATTTTTTATAAATTTGCCTATGGTGAGGTGGAGGAGGATGAAGTGGGTAGGGACACTGGTGCAAGAATTCAAGTTATTAAGTATGGAGTTGGAATATTGCATGCCTGCAATTTTTTTAATTTAACTTTTATTAGTGAAACACCATGAGGTACAGTTGTAGACTTACAAATTTTTGTGCTTGGGTTTCTATTATCACTTCACTTAATCACTTAATCCCCGTTATTCATCGATTTATTCAAGCCAGTAACGTCTCCATTCATCCCGGTTGCGTGCTAGCGTAGCCCAATGGTATCTGTTCGTTCTAGGAACATGCAGAGCCTCAAACCGATCATTCAGGGTCTTGACGAAGAAGTCTGACCATCTTGTAGGTGGGCATCCACGTGATCTTTTGATGTCCCATGGAATCCAATCAGTAATGGCTCTAGTCCAGCGGTTGTCTGTAAACCTCATTACGTGTCCAGCCCATTTGATTTTTGATGTCTTGGCAAATGAGACAGCGTCCCTGATTCTTGAGCGTTGACAAAGATCAGAACTCCGGATTCTATCTCTCATTTGAGTGAATCATGATAATCCAAGCATAGCTCTTTCGATTCCTCTTTGAGAGACCCGAATAGCGTTCTCATCCTGTTTTCGTAGGGTCCAGGTCTCTGAGACATATGTTAATGCAGGAAGAACAGTGGAATCAAAGAGATGTGCTCATAGCTGGAGGTTCTTTGTCCTTTTAGTTATTTCTTTAATGTTCTTGAAGGCATTCCAAGCCGCTCTCTTCCTCCTGCGCAACTCAGGTGCCAGGTCATTCATCATGTTGATTTCTCGACCTAGGTATATATAACTGTTGCATTCAGAGATGGTGGTTCCGGGAGAGCACAAGGCAGTCTCCTACCCTGTGCCTGAATATCCTCGCCAGGGCCCAAACAGCTGAAGACCTCCAGGCCCCAGCCAAGGCCATACTGAGGCCACTCTCCACACACTTGGATAAGCCTCAGGCATAACAGAACTGGCAGAGGAACCCAGGTGTGTGGGACCCGGAGTTGAGATCTCCAAGCCTGCACGGTTTGGGACTGGACCTGTCAGTAGCTAGACAGTTACACCCTCCAACTGCCGTGTAACCCCAACAATGGCCAGGATCCAGAGATTATCACAACAAGCTCCCGGGAGCGCACGGCCGCATTTGTGGCCGCACAACTATTTATTTACTTTTCTCTAAGTTTTCAGGGTACCTCTCAATGGTTTCTATTATACAATGATCAAATTCCCATCCCTCCACCAGTGCCCATTTTCTACCACCACAGGTCCCAGTATCCCTCCCACCTCCCATACCCCCATCCCACCGTCTGTGGCACAGCCTCTGTGGCAGGGCATTTCCTTTTGTTCTCTCTCTCCTTTTGGGTGTTGTGGTTTGCAAGAGAGGCACTGAGTAGCAATCATGTTTGGTCTATAGTCTACTTTCAGCATGCTTCTCCCATCCTGGGAGGATCCTCCCAATACCCTTTATTTGGTGCTCCCTTCTCTACCTGAGCTCCCTTTTCCCCTAGCATGTGTGGCTAACCTCCAAGCCATGGAGCAAACCTCCTGGTACTAATCTCGGCCTGCCTGCAATTTTTATTAACAGAATTACAAACTATGGTGTCTTGGGGAAAATTACACTATTACAACTAAAAAAATAAGACTTGTGTTATATTGCAAATAATTTTTAGTGTTTATATTGAAATGCATGAGCACATGAAGAACAAAAACTGTTGATAGTTAAGTTATGACATTTTAAGGAAAATGTGAGGGAAAAATGTATGGAGATGAGTTAGGAAATGTGAGATCTAATATACTCCGCTCCAAAGTAGAACACTTACAATACTATTACAATACTATTTCTTTCTTCTTCTTCTTCTTCTTTTTTTTTTTTTTGGTTTTGCTTTTTGCAATGCTCAGGGGCTACTCCTGGCTCTGCACTCAGGAATTACTCTTGGCAGTGCTCGGGGACAATATGAAATGCCCAGGATTGAACCCAGGTCGACTGCATGCAAGGCAAATGCCCTACCCGCTGTGCTATCACTCTGGCCCCAACAATACAATTTCTTATAAAGATAGAGGAATGGAAAAAAGTTCACAATTTAAAGAATATGCATATCAAGGGTGCAGACAATATTATTTCTTGTCCTTTTCAACAGGATTACAGACCAAATATATGAAGAATAGGTCTATCAAAGATACTCTGGTGGGCATATAAAACTCTGTCAGGAAAAAAAATTAAATGAGGCTTTCTTTCCTACTATATTTTCCTTTTTTCATCAAGCAAATTAATTACCTTAAACTACTGAATTATCTCAATTTCCTCATTATGTATTTGCACACATTTCTGTTAATGTCCTTTTATGTTGACAAGATATTTATAGATAAGTGATCAAAATGTTATAACACCAATCTAAGATTGAATGTTATCACTACCACTATCCAAAACCCTTGTATGCAGTTTGCAGTGACATTTTTTGTCAGTCACAAAAAAGAGATCTTTTTATAAATGACTGAAAAGAATACCAGAAAGTGGTAACTCTTAATGCAATAATCTAACCAGAACTGTCTTTCATAGTTCAAGGAAAATTCTTTCAGTATAAGTTGTTACACTTTGGCATCTCTGATGTTGCTCATGATTTTTAATAATTCACATTTTTTTTTACTAGCTGCTTTGCAGTTAGGTCTTGTGGAAGGTGAAATCAGTGACTTGCTTCGGGGGATACATCAAGTCCAAACTCCTGGACAAGGAATGAAAGAGGAAAACATGCCTGTTGAGGAAGATGGGTATATCAAACAGAAGGAAATTGGTTCAGATGATATCTGCTCTATTTGTCAAGAAGTGCTTTTAGAGAAAAGACTTCCTGTTACATTTTGCAGGTGATAGGCTTTTTTCCTTTTCAGTTTAAAAACTTATAAAAATTTTAAATTTAGTATATAATTGACTGGTATGAGACATACTGATAAGAGAAACAACACAAGTTATAATAGCATATTTGTAATCAGTTGGCTTCCTTTTGTTAATGACATGTATGTTATTATTGTTATATGTATATTTTACTCTAAATATGTCTGCAGTACATTTGGTTTGGTTTTGGATCACAACTGACAATGTTCAGGGGTTACCTCCAACTCAGTACTTGTGGGACCTTGTGGTTCCAGAAATTAAATCCAGAGTTCTCATGTGCACTCTGACTCTTGTGCCATCTCCCCACCAATCATACATCTTACAGGTGAAAATTAAAGCATAACTCCACTTTGTAGCTCTCTCCACTTGAATTTACTAAATCAGGATCATTTCCTTTTTTGTGTTTTTTTTTCACATGTTAATAAATGAAATGATGTAAAGTTTTCTGAAATTAAAGATTATCTTAAATTATAAAAATTCCTTAGTTTTTCAAAATTATCTCTTTAAACATAAATGAATAAAAAATTCACTAATATCCAAGTATTTATTGAGAAGATCATTCATACTATATTCTGCAGCACTGTAAAGTGAAACATGTAAAGAAGCATGTTGGACTTGAGCAATTATTTGATATAGAAACTCTTTATTCTTTTTTTCTCTCAATTATTTTTTGAAGATTTTTATCAACAATATAGCTACTGTAGCTACCTCTGTTGCATATTTTAAAGTTACTCCCTATTATCCAAAATATTTTTCTTAGCAGATATGATATTTATGGAGAGCTACCATATACTACTATGAGATTTCTAGAGAAATAAGACACCCCCCCCCCTTTTTTTTAGTGAAATACCATGAGGTACAGTTGTAGATTTACAAATTTTTGTGCTTGGGTTTCGATTATACAATGATCAAGTACCCATCCCTCCACCCGTGCCCATTTCCCACCACCACGGATCCCAGTATCCCTCCCACGCCCCATCCCCCCCCATCCCACCCTGCCTCTGTGGCAGGGCATTCCCTTTTGTTCTCTCTCTCTTATTGGGTGCTGTGGTTTGCATAAGAGGCAATGGGAACACACCCCTTTCTTAATGATGAAATTTTTGTTATTATTTTCCTTCTTGTTAAGACAATATTTTTTACTTTAAAGATGACAATTTTGCTAATGGGAAAATATTTTGCCACCATTCTCTTAATGGGGGGAAGAAACTTGGGGTTTTTGTGGAGACTTTTGTTTCTGTTTTGTTTTGGGTCCACGCCCAGTTGTGCAGGACTTACTTTTGACTCTGTGCTCAGGGATCACTCCTGGCGGGGCTCAGGGGACAATATGAGGTTTGGGGGATTGAACCCAGGTCAGCCATGTGCAAGACAAATGCCCTACCTCCTGCACTTTTACTCTTGTCTCAGGAATTTGTTTTTATTCCTATTAAATAGAAGATAGATGAACATATAGATAAGATAGTATAATGAAATGAAAATTATTTCAGAATCAATTTACAGCAAAATTAAAATGATGGTACAGAAATATTTTTATATAAATGTATATCATTTTCTGTATACAAATGATAAACTGAACTTTATTTCCAACAGGTTTGGCTGTGGTAATAGTATTCATATAAAATGCATGAAGATTTTAGCTAGTTTTCAGGAAATAACTTCAAAGACTAGCATGTTGAAGTGTCCTCTGTGTAGGAAAGAGTTTGCGCCACTAAAGCTTATTTTAGAGGAATTCCAAAACTCTAGCAAATTTGTGACCACAGCAGAGAAAGAACGACTGGACAAACATCTTGGAATTCCCTGTAATAACTGTAAACAATTTCCAATTGTGGGGAAGTGTTATAAGTAAGTGTCATCGGTAAATTTATATTCATTTTTCTTTTTCTTTTAACTTTAGAAAGCAAGGCTATAGAACAACATTCATTTGCCCTGCTTCTTTTTTCTATGTATACTCTTTGCCATAAATTATAGTTGCTGATTTATGACTATTAGATTGGCGACCTATGCCAGCTTAGTACCCTAAGAACTCCCAGTTGTTTTATTTTTTTCATTACACTCTGGTATTGGCTTTGCAGTCCAGTTTCCACTGAAAGTCTGAATTGGCATGCTAACCTCCCCCTGAGAGCTGGACACAGGCTTTGTTGCTCTGACTAGATGAATTTCCTAGCTGAAAGCTTTGCTAGAGTACCAACTCCCTGTAACTATCTTCAACCATTATTGAGGTCACTCCCACAACCTCATAGATCTCCTCTACAATCTTCAAAAACACTAAGATAACAACAGCCACTAAATATGTTGTAATTTATTACAGTAGACTTAGGGAAATTAATACAAGGTGAGATCAAATGGGCCTTGCCATATCTGCACATTTCCTGGGAGCGATAGCACAGCGGTAGGGCGTTTGCCTTGCACGCAGCCAACATGGCCGACCCGAGTTCAATTCCTCCGCCCCTCTCAGAGAGCCCGGCAAGCTACCGAGAGTATCTCGCCCGCATGGCAGAGCCTGGCAAGCCACCTGTGATGTATTCGATATGCCAAACACAGTAACAACAAAATCTCCAATGGAGACGTTACTGGGCCCACTCGAGCAAATCAGTGATCAGAATTATTTGCCAATAATCATGAAAATAATTAGATTTTTTATATGTTTGGTGTTTGTATTTTTAGGTGTACGAAGTGTTTAGAATATCACTTATGTCAGAAATGTTTTGATAGCTACAACCATCATTGTCACGCATTTACATTTCGTGAGGTACAGTATCCATCTTGAATATCATATGATGTTTATATTTGTGCTGTTGTAAGTCTAAGTAAAATGAATATAAGAATAATAATAAATGGGTCCAGAGCAATAGTACAGTGGGTAGGGAGTTTGCCTTGAATGTGGCTGACCCGGGTTCGATCTCCGGCATACCATATGGTTCCCCAGCACTGCCAGGGGTAATTTCTGAGTGTAGAGCCAGGTGTGACCTCTGAGCATCGCTGGGTGTGACCCAAAAAGAAAAAAAAAAGAATAATAATGAATAATTTAATGGAACAGACTGATTTGTTTTTAATGAAAACCAAAAAGTTTTAGAACACTTTTTCATAGGACTGTGTGAGACAACCAGTTCTCACATTAACACTGTATAAATTTCAACACAGTAGCATGATGATATACATATTTTTTTCTTTTTGGGTCACACCCAGCGATGCAGAGGGGTTACTCCTGGGTCATGCACTCAGGAATTACCCCTGGTAGTGCTCGGGGGACCGTATGGGATGCTGGGAATCAAACCCAGATTGGCTGCATGCAAGGCAAATGCCCCATATAAATTTTTAAGTGCAGCAATTGTGGTCATCAGATTTGAAAGTACAATTTAAAAATAGTTTCAGCATTATAAATGGATTTAGCATATTGACAAACATGTCTAAGATTTATCAACAATCATGATGATAAATTTAATTTCTCCAAATGCTATATAATAATGCTACTTTCTATTTAGAACCCCAAACAGAAAATTTACTATTACCAGTATTGATTAATTAACATTTTACTTGAAAGAATAAAGTTACTACGGGCCCAGAAAGATAGTACAATGGGTGAATAGTATTTGCCTTGCATATAGACAACCCGGATCTCATCATGGGCACCACATGAGATCCCCTGAAAACCACGAAGAGCGGTGAGTGCCAGAGTCAGGAGTAAGGCCTGGACATAGTTGGCTATGACCCTAAAACCAAAACTAAAATGTAAAAGAATAAAGTTACAAAAAGTTGGGGATGTTGCTCTTGTGGTAGAGCTTGTCTCACATGTATGAGGCTCTGGCACAAAAGAAACATTAAAAAAATTCTAGTAACTGGGTAATAGTATATTAGACTCAATAATAATTTGTAAATTATTTTGTGTAGTTAAATGTAGGGCCGGAGCAACAGCACAGCAGTAGGGCGTTTGCCTTGCACGTGGCCAACCCGACCAACCCAGGTTCAATTTCTCTGTCCTTCTCAGAGAGCCTGGCAAGCTACTGAGAGTATCTCACCCGCACGGCAAAGCCTGGCAAGCTACCCATGACGTATTTGATATGCCAAACACAGTAACAACAAGTCTCATAATGGAGACGTTACTGGGCCCGCTCGAGCAAATCGATGAACAATGGGAGGACAGTGGACAGTGGACAGTTAAGTGTAGGCATTTGGGGGGTCAGCGAGATAGTAAAATTGGTAGAGCACTTGTCTTGTACACAGTTGACATGAGTTCAATCCCTGGCACCCTATATAGTTCCCCCACCAGAAGTGATCCTTGAGCACAGGGTCAGGAATAAGGCCTGAGCACTGTTGGGTGCAGTCCCAAAACCAAAAATAAAGGCATATTTTAAATGAGGTGTAGTCTTTAATATTATAGATATGTAGACTACTAACTTTGGTCCACAAAATTAAAATTTTCATGACTTGAAGCTAACATATACATTTTACATATTTCAGAAGAGAAATCAAAGATGGAGATCACTAGAAAATCTGTCTGATGAAATTACAAAATATAGAAATGTTAAAAAAGATATAGAAGAAAAGATGCCACATTTTCAAGAAAAAAAAGAGTAAGTTTTTCAGAGAAACTTATACTTCTTATATGATTGAATATTTAAATTTTCAGTTTGAGTGATTTATATTCATTTCATTAGCAAATATATATTAAGCGGTCATATACTTCTAACATTATAGGATGAAGATGAAGAGAAAACTCTGCGGTCAAACTATTCACTATAATCCTAACAACCACCAGTTGGTTATGTGACTCATAATTTCTGAACTTCTCTTTGTTACATTTTCTTCTTTTGGTTTTGGGACACATCTGGTGGTGCTAGGGATTACTCCTAACTTTGACTTTATAAAGTGTTCAGGGATCACTCCTGGCAGTGCTCAGGGGACCACATGGGATGCTAGAGATTGAACCTGACAAATGCTCGCAAGGCAAGTGCATTACCCATTATACTAGCTCTCTGATCCATCCTTCATCTTTAAAATAGGGATGATTATAAAGCCCAGCCTCAGAAAAAAATTGTGAATTATGAAATGAGTTAAGTAACTGATTAACTTGTGAGATCACTCCAGGGTTCCTAGAGGCAATGACTTCAGATACTAAATTCTGACAATGGCAACAGACCTAAAGCTCCTCAGAGAATAGTATAGATTAATAATTGACCTTTGGCTAGATTCAGAAACATGGGTTGTCTTGAAACATTCATGGATGGTTTTGGAAACTTATAAAGAGAATAAACTTTGTTTCTGTTTAAAGAGCTTGTGTATGTTGAGTTTGTTTCCCCCTGAAGCTATATGTTGCCAGGCAAGGTTTGTCTTCCCTTTTATCCCCCTTAACTGCATGACAACTTTTACCTCTATAAAATCACTGCTTGCCTGAATAAACTTGTCATTTGACCACCAGTCATTGTCCTGCAATTATTGGTTCCCAGTCACTTGCCAGTATTCATGTCTATGAACTCTAACAGTCACAGACCAAGTTTAAATGGCCCTTCACACCCAGGTACTCTGTCACCGTGGAACAGTAACAAAGAAAAGCACTAGATTCATCTGCTTGACTAATGTGAGGGGTTTTTTTTTGCCTGTGGTATTGAGTACTCCTCATTTGTAAACAAATATGACCTTTCTTTTCTCTCTGGTTATTCTCCTTCAGCCAGGTGTGCACGCCAAAGCACGTGGTCAAGTCACTGCCTCTCTCACTCATCACGAAGAAGAGTAAGCTGCTTGCACCAGGATACCAGTGCCGGCTTTGTTTAAAGGCATTTCATATTGGTGAACATACAAGATTTCTACCATGTACTCACAAGGTAGAGGTCACATCATTTTAGTTTGACTTTCTCATAAGTCCATTTTTCATAAATCAAGTATCCACTTCTTAGTTGTACCTTATTTGTACTATAAGCAGAGATCTTCAAGTTCAATCCTACATGTAGAAGATCTACAGCACTTTGAAAAGGCAGCCATGTATCCTAAGGATGAATTTTTATTAACTAGGATTTATTTTTGTATATACTATCCATCTGCTGGAGCGATAGCACAGCAGGTAGGGCATTTGCCTTGCACATAGCCGGCCAGGGTTCTGTAAAATCTTATCACGCCGAAGGTTGTGTGTTCACGGGCTCACTGGATGGCACTGTCTCACCGCCTGCGTTCGGTGCTCTTGAGCCGCTGTGTGTGGCCTGGATCAGAACGGCTGTTGGCCAAGGGCAGACGGAAGAAGAAACGAGGGTCAGGCCGGTCTATATCAATAGCAGTTTATTCTAATCCTCTTCACTCCTGTCTTTCTCTGCCTCCTTCTCTCCTGGGCCCCAATCTTTGAACCTCTCTCCTTCTGGCTCTGACTCTGGATCTCTGGAGCCCGAGCTCTCTCGCTTCTGACTCCCTTTCCGAGCTTACGTCTTAGTTTATATAGCAGTCACATAAGGCGGTGACATAAAGGTGGGTTGAATACTGACGAATCAACAAAGAGAGGTAAGACCACTCCTCCAGGAGATTAACTCAAGGATAAAATCTCATCTACAGAGATTACTTCAGATTACTAGGAGATCCACCCAAGGGTGGGATCCCAACAAGGGTGTGTTCTTCCCTCAATTAGTAATCTACTTAAATAGTTGTAATAAATCTACTTCTAATATTTCTAGCAATGTCATTCTGTATGAGCACAGTAAGAGATATAAATTTAGTTTGGTTCTTCCTGAGAACATCTCACTATACAATTCGCAGTCCTCAGGCCAGGTTAATCTTCCTAGCTCCAGCAGGGTCCTAGTCTCATTGTTACTTACTTTTGGATCATGACAGCATTTGTCCTTGATCATGCCCTCAACTTATAGTTGAGTATCGTGGCTCTTTGGCCTGGCCCATTTCGATGCCAGGGTAGCTCACTGCTTGCCCTGGGTCCATTCAGTCCCTCGTCGGGACCCTGCTTTTGGGGTGCTAGGAACTAAGGGCAACTGAGTCAAGAAATCAGATGCCCAGGAGTAAATATTATTCGGAGTCAATCAACTCCCAAGTTACAAAGCATAATATTAACTGTCTTCCTGTGTCCACACAGAAAGGACATTGCTTACAAGTTCAGTGTTCTTAGATGGGTGTGACCTGACAAACCTAAGCTACCTGAGGAAGGACAAAAGAGTGTTATCCTACAGGGTTCGATTCCTCTATCCTTCTCGGAGAGCTCAGCAAGCTACGGAGAGTATCTCGCCCGCCCAGCAGAGCCTGGCAAGCTCCCCATGGTGTATTCTATATGCCAAAAACAGTAACAACAAGTCTCACAATGGAGACGTTACTGGTGGCTGCTCTAGCAAATCGATGAACAAGAGGACAGTGCTATATTGTCCATGGGCTGGAGAGATAGCACAGCAGGTAGGGTGTTTGCCTTGCACACGGTTGACCCAGGTTCGATTCCTCTGTCCCTCTTGGAGAGCCCAGCATGCTACCAAGAGTATCCCACCTGCACAGCAGAGCCTGGCAAGCTCCCTGTGGTGTATTCAGTATGCCAGAAACAGTAACAACAAGCCTCACTTTGTGTTCTTGGAGCGAGCAGACACCGTTGGGCTACACTAGCATGGGACAGGAACAAATGGAGATTTACTGGTACCCGCTTGAGCAAATTGATGAACAACGGGATGACAGTCCCACAGTGCTATATACTATCCATGAATATAAAGTGGCATTTTAAGTTAGATTATTTTACATCTTTAAATTATTTACTAGAAAAGCTTATAGAATATAAACTTTCAGTTATATTTTTGTGATTTTGAGGATGGAAGATAACATATATTTGATAAAAATTTATTGTTTCAAAAGAAATTAGTGGAATCAAACTCTAAAGTTTTTAGTTTAGGCTAATTTTTAGTTGACAGTGAGGTGGGTTTTTTTAATCTGAAACAAAGCTACTTCAGAAAACTAGGGATTTGGAGACCCTGTAATACCTGGTAAATTTTCCTCCCAAATATGTGATTTATTATTTTATATTATCAGGGACCAGAGCAATAGCATAGCGGGCAGGGCATTTGCCTTGCACGTGGCCGACCTGGGCTGGATTCTTCTGACACTCTTGGAAGCCCAGCAATATACTGAGAGTATTCGGCCCGCACGGCAAAGCCTACCAAGCTACCCATGATGTATTCAATATGCCAAATACAGTAACAACAAGTCTCACAGTGTAGACATTACTGGTGCCCACTTGAGAAAATTGATTAACAATGGGACAACAGTGCTGTGTTATCATCACATTAATTTTTTTCAGATTTATTTTTAAAATTGTTAGTTTTATTCATTAGAAAAGGTGAAATGAATCATGTGTAAGCTGAATTTTAACAGCATTTCAAAATTATATTTATGAGCGTTTCTATATTAATGTTAAAAATGGGCGTCAAGGGACTGGAAAGATAGAACAGCAAATAGAGCATTTTTGCCTTGCCCACTGCTGACCTAGCACTGGCATGGACTCCTAGCCTCTACCAGGAGTGAGCCTTCAACAGAGAATTAGGAATAAGCCCTGAATACTGCTGGGGGGGGGGGGGGGGGGAGGGGGTTCAAAATAAAATGATAATAACAACAAAAAAAGGAGAAAATGGATATCAGTACATTATCAATTGTTTTTTATTTATTTATTTATTTATTTATTTTTGCTTTTTGGGTCACACCCGGCGATGCACAAGGGTTGCTCCTGGCTCTATACTCAGGAATTACTCCTAGCAGTGCTCAGGGGACCATATGGGATGCTGGGAATCGAACCCTGGTCAGCCGCGTGGAAGGAAAAAGCCCTACCCGCTGTGCTATTGCTCCAGCTCTGATATCAATTGCATTTTTTTAATGTAGGAGTACTGCTATTTATTCAGCCACTGATTAGCTGATTGAATTGGGTACAAACTCCACCTTACTTTTTTTTTCCATTTTTTATCATTTTATTTATTGAATCACCATGAGAGCAGTCACAAAACTTTCGACTTTAAGTCTTGGTCATACAATGAAACACCCATACCTTCACCAGTCTCGATTCTCCACCCCCCAAAACCCCAGTATATCCCCATCCCACACCCTCCCCTTACTTGTGGGGCAGATGATTTCCACATTACTCTCTATCTACTTTGATCGCATTCAATATTTTGACACCAGACCCACCACTTTTTGGGACTTTACCCCAACACTCAGATCTGCTGAAAAGGAAACAAACAATTTGTTTTATATTGCTGGTTATGAATAACATATGATGTCACGTAGTTGCAGTAGTGGCTGTGCGATTTTGAAATTCCGAAATTTTAACAATTAAATATGGAGGGATTTCTTGCCCAAACCTGCTGAGTTCCGAGATTTGTTCCTTATCATGGCCGTAAAGCAACTTGATCAGGAGCCAGAAAGGCCTTTCATGGATGGCGACTCGGGGTCTTGTTGGGATGGGGAGGAAAAGGCTGGCTCCACCCCCATTCCATGCGGCCCGCCGTGTCGCATCACTAAGGGCCCAAACCTGACTGTCCAATAGCCTCTGGAGGATGGTGGCCACTGAGCCACCAAGGGGGAGCAGGTGGAGGGACAGCACCCTTTTCCCCTTGGGGTGGACCGGCAACAGTAACCTGCTGCTCGGTGTGGACGCATTTCTGCCAAAAACTGCTGGGTTTTGCAATTTGTTTCTGAGTCTCTGGGATAATGGCCATTAAGCAGCTTGATCAGGAGCCAGAGAGGCTGTTTGTGGGCAGCGACTCGGGGTCTCGTTGGGATGGGCAGGAAAGGGCCAGCTCCACACCCATCCCATAAGGCCCCACGTGTCTCATCACTGCGGGCCTAAAACTGACTGTCAAATGGTCTCTGGCAGATGGCGGTGACCAGGCCGCCAGGGGGAATAGGCCAAGGCATAAAACCTATTCCCACCTGGGGTGCCTCAGCGCCTGTAACCTACTGCAGGGACTGGACACATTTCTGCCAAAATCCGTTGGGTTTCGAAATTTGTTTCTGAGTCTCTGGGATCATGGCCATTAAGCAGTTCAATCAGGAACCATAGAATATATATATATATATATATATATATATATATATATATATATATATATATATCTGAATATAGCTGAGCCGAAGATGGTTTGTGGGTGTGTTCTCCCACATACCTAACTTTTGGCCATTTACTTTCTTGGTAAACTTTGCCCCAAGTTTTTGGGGTCTGGCTAAAGGCACAGCAGCAATTTTGGGGTATCTGGAAGTCTGAAGGCGCCATCAGGCTGCTGATGCACTGGCCTCACAGGTACAGATTGACCTGCTGGCGGCACCATACCCCCAATCAATTGCATTTTTAAGTGAACCTTTTCAAACTATTTTTTATAAGACTTAAAATAAATTATGATTATCTTCTATTTTTGTTAATTAGTTTTAGCAGTAACAAACAGAAAATTTGTATAAATAATATACTTTATAAACAGTATAACAGTAGCACATGTTAATTTATAACTTTTTTTTAAGTTTCATAGGAAATGTATTGACAGGTGGTTATTCTACAAGTGCAATGCATGCCCTATTGATGGACAAGTTATATATAATCCTTTAACCTGGAAAGAAACAACAGTGAATGGACACTCACATCAGTCTGTTTCAAACACAGATTTCACTCATCTGACAAAGCAGGAAGAGCCAGAACTTTTTATTCCTGGTACTGGATTAGTCTTAAAACAAAATAGACTTGGAAATTTACCTCACATACCTCAACATGTATCTGAAAAGTTGAATATACCTCAAAGTCCCACAGATACTTATCAGAATGTAAGTATAGATTATCTAAATCCTACCAAATTTCAAGAGACAATTTCAAGAAAATTAACCTATGAATATAAAATTAGCCAACATTTTCCCAGATATCTCCAAGACTTACCTACTGCATCTTTTCAACCATTTCTTCCTTCTATTGTTCATAAGAAAACCAGATGTCCTAGTGTAATGAAAAATCCACGTATAAATGAAAAATTCCACATTGGTCAGAGCCAGAAGACCACCAAAGAATGTACTGACCACAATCCAAAGAAGACCCCAGGTAGTAAAATAAAAGAGGACAGCAGCAGGAAATCAAATACATTGCTTTCAGAAGATTTAGACCTTACCATCAACTGGGGCAAAACACAAGTTAGCTCAATTAAAAAAAATAGTAATCACGTGGGGAAAATCAGACAGAAACTTGGCCATCCATCAAAAAAACCAATATCTCACTCTTTAAATACAAATACTAGTGAGATATCGTTGATATTGGAAGGAGTTCAGTTATGAAAATACATTATTGATTAACAGGAAATATTTGAATATTGGACATAAAATATTTTATTAATAGAACATAAAATTGCTATAACTCTTAATAGAAAGATATAGAATTACCTATTGTCATTCTGCCCACTATCTAAACAACATGTGAAGGAGATAGCCCCATTTCTTATACTTAAAACTTTCTTAATGAGTATGTCCAGTATACGTATTATAACTTTTACATATGCCTATAGACTAATTAAAATAATTATTTTATTAAACATACATTTTATTTCATTCATTACTTTTGAATATTTCATTTGATATCATTTTACTGGTCTTTGAGATACAGGAAGTGTTTGAGTTGCACTGCAGTTTTGTGGGATTCTCTTGAAACTTTCCTATATCTAGTTGTTTTCCTTATTGACAATAAAAAAAAGTCTTCTTTCAGCAATTCTGATTGTTTGGGGGGGGGGGATTCTAAACAGTAATGGCGCATCTTTTGTCGAAATAATGAATGTAATCAATATATAGAAGAGTTAAGTAGAAATCATCTACCTCACAGGCATTTGGAGCGGTGGGGGGGGGGCAGGTATACTGGGGTTCTTGGTGGTGAAAAATGAGTACTGGTGAAGGGAAAGGTGTTTGATCATTGTATGACTGAGACTTAAACCTGAAAGCTTTCCAACTTTTCCCACAGTGATTCAATAAATAAATATAAAAAGAAAAATAAATAAATAAATAAATTAAGGTAGAGTTCATGCCCAATTCAATCAGCTAATCATTGGCTGAATAAATAGCAGTACTCCTACAAAAAATAAAAATTTAAAAAAAAAGTCTTCTGCCAGAATCTTGGCTTATGTCTCAGAATAACTAGAATAACTTTATTACTGTTGTTGTTTCTTTGAGTTTTGGGGGCCACTCCCAACTGTGCTCAGAACTTGCTCCTGGCTCTGTATTCAGGGATCACTCGCTGTGCTCGGAAGACTGTATAGGGTGTCAGGGATAGAATCCAGGTGTGCTGCCTGCAAAGCAAGTGCCCTACCCATGGTACTATCTCTCCACCCTCCAGAATAAATTTCAGTTTTATCTCTGTCTGCTACCTTTTATCGGTTTCATATAGTTTCAAGGATACAAATCTTTTACCTTTTTGGTTAAAATTAATTATTTTGGTGAAGTTTGTTGGCATCCACAGTGGAGAGATACAGTCCATTCTTAGTATAGTGCCTTAGTACTCTTCTGCTTTAGTGCAAATGGGGAGAGGGATAAAGCCTTGGGGAAGGGGATAATTAAAAAGTTCCCTTTAGGACCCTCATTCACTGTGCTTGGGGATCATTCCTGGCAGGGCTCAGAGACCATATGGAAAGCAGGGGATTGAAACCTGGTCAGCTGCATGCAAAGCAAAGGCCCTACCAACTGCACAATTGCTCTGGCCCTTATAACCTATTTTTATTGCAGAGCTTAATACAATAGCCAGAATATGAGAACAACCCAAATGTCTAACAACCTATGAATGGATAAAAAGTTGTGGTATATACACACAATATAATACTATGTAGCCATAAGAGGAAAAAATCATGCAGTTTGCTTAAACCCAAATGGCATTGAAGAATATCATGTTAAGCAAAAGAAATCAGAGGGAGAACAAATATCAGATGTTCTCACTTATTTGTGGTATATAGAGAAACAAGGCAAGGGAATAGAAGGTATCAAATGTTGGCAAATCCTTGTTCCCAAATTACAGAATTGAGAATGACAAGAAAGGGGAATGTGAAGGGGAAAGAAAAAGTGGACTAAAGATAACACTGGGACCTTTTGGGCTCTTTGATGGTGTTGATGTGAGATAGCACATTAAGAATATCTCTTATAATTTAATTAAAAAGCATCAAATAAATAACTTTATTTAATGTTGCATCCTACTGCAGATGTCACCAAACTTCACTAGTGACTTTCTTGTTTTCCCCCACCCAAATTTCTGGGAGGAGCATCAGCAGACTCTTTCCCGTAGAAGGTGAGGTGAAGGGATAACTCCATTTCTAATGACCATGAAGTGGTCTTTTTTTTACCCTGCTACCTCCATTAATGGAGAGCTTCCAGCAATTTCTGGAAAGCCACAGTTGATGATTGAGGAGTCTATGGTCTTGAAACATAAGATTTTGCTCTTCTTCTATGGATTTGATTCTGTAGGACAGAGGAAAGCTTCTACCCAAAGTTTCAGAACATCTTACAAGTTTTAGAATATGCACAAAATATTAATGAAGAGATTCAAAAAGAATTTTGGGAACAGATTTCTCTCTCACATTCCCTTTGTTGTGATGCTGGAGTCATGCAATCTTGGTTGTGTGTAATTAAGAAACTTTGCTGTGGCATAGAGAATCAAACATGGCAGAGCTCAGATCAAATATGTGAACGTTTTCAAAGCTTCCCACCTACAACACTGGTACTCTCCACCAAGTCATATGCCGGGACCCCTTCTTGAAACACTCTTTCCCCCTTGAAGGAAATGGTGTATCTAAATATGTTTAAATTATACAGAAAAATTTAGATGAATAAAAACCTAAAGAGGAAACTGTAGAGGTGAGTGATGTTTTAAAATCATTGGCTTCACAGCCCCCAGAGTGGGAAACCCCTCCTCCAACAGGTGTGTTGACCCTCCTGGCTGTGCCTAGCCCCCTGCCTCAACCCTGGCCCCCCAATCAAAGGGAAGCACCTGCCCCAGCATTTCACACAGAAAGACCCTTCCCCACCAGCTGCCGCCCCCAAAGCACCAAACCCATTTTTCCACCAGATGTGTGGACCCCTATCATTGCATCCCTGCATCTACCAATCACGGCATACCTTAAAAATCTCTAACCACAAAACCATGAGGACGCAAAGCGGCCATGAGAAGAAGTTGCTGTGTCTAGAACCCCCATATTAAGCACTAGTTAACCCAGGCATCACATATCTTTACCCATCAATAAGCCATGGTAACACACAAAGATAACCCCACTGCAGGGGCAAAAACATATAACAACACGGGGTAAAACTTCAAAACACAAAGGTCACAATGGTAAAACAATGCAGAAACTCATCAGGCTTAATGATTGAAGTTGCTAGTCCAGATGAACAGTAATAATGAACTAGATAGCTTCTCAGATCACTCGATCACTTGACATCCAGTAACTCATCGATTTGCTCAAGTGGGCACCAGTAACGTCTCCATTCATCCCTGTCATGTGCTAGTGTAGCCCAATGGCATCTGCTTGTTCTAGAAACACAAAGAGCCTCAAACCGATTGTTCAGGGTCTTGACGAAGAAGTCTGACCATCTCGTAGGTGGGCGGCCATGCAATCTTTTGATGTCCTGTGGAATCCAGTCGGTTATGGCTCTAGTCCAGCGATCATCTCCAAATCTCATTATGTCTCCAGCCCATCTGATTTTTGACACCTTGGCAAATGAAACAGCACCCCTGATTCTTGACCTCCACTAACTCCACTACCCAGCCACCGCCACACTCCAGGACACTTTCCAGATGCTCGGGCCGAGACTCATGCATGAGTGAAGCCCCACAGAATCAGGTAAGCAGATCTCTGAGACATCGGACTCCAGGCGCAACTGACCCAGGAACAGAGATCCTCTGCCTGGTCCCACCAACCACAGGTGACCAAGGGATTAAAACCAGAAGCCCCAACCTACCCTGCCCTGTCTGCTTCCACCAATCACTGGCGACCTAGGGATTCCACACAGAAGACCCACCCTACCGGCACCAGATAGTTCCTCACCAGCAGACTTCCACTATCTCCACTACCTCCACTACCCAGCCTCCGCCACACTCTAGGATGCTTTCCAGACCACGCAGCTGCTTTGCGGTTGTGGGACACATCATAGGACACTTAATACCCATCTTCCTGGATCACCACACCATTTTGATAGGGTTCGAATATGGTTTGAACCATGGGAACACTTGCAAGGGTGATTAGAGGCCGCCCTAAAAGCCTATATCCCTCTCAAAGAGCCTGGCAAGCTACCAAGAATATCCCACCCGCATGGCAGAGCCTGGCAAGCTATCCATGGCGTATTCAATATGCCAAAACCAGCAAATACAATGGGTATCATTCCCCTGACCCTGAAAGAGCCACCAATATGGAAGCATAAGAAGGATGAGGAAGGAGAGGCTGATAAAATCTCAAGACCAAACTAGGCTGCCAAAACAAAGAAAGACAAAAATGACTGTCTGGACTTTCAATGCACATACGCTGGCATCAGATGCATCCATCGACGACCTGATGGTACAAGTGCAAAAGATCAAGTACGACATCATTGGTCTGACCAAGACTAGAAGGCATCAGTCACATCACACCGTTTTTGACACTGGAGAAGAACTGTTCCTCGGAACATGCAACAAAAGAGGCGTCAGAGGCATCGGTGTCCTTGTCAACATGAACTTGGCCATGAGCATTGATTCATTCGAATGCCTAACAACCCGAATCAGACGATTACACTTGAATAGATATGGCTCACTGCTGGCAGTTTCTATCTTCATTGTCTACGCACCAACATCCAATTATGATGAGGGGAAATTGAGAAGTTCTACACGGAGCTGGAGTTCTATGAAGAAGACCACACCTGATACAAGATCAGTGATTTTAATGCCAAGATAGGACTGAGAAGATCAGCCAAAGAAGTCCACATCGGGACCCATGGCCTAGAATGGAATGAAGAGGGTGAGAGACTGTCTGAGTTCATCATGTCGACCAAGACTATCCATGGTAACTCACAGTTCTAGAGGGCCAAATCTAAACCTCTCAGATAAAGAATTTAAAATGGAGCTTTGAAGGATGTAGAAAGAGCTCAAAGAAGAAATGGGTTTCACTGCTGATAAAATACAAGAGGCTATGGAGCAGAAGTGAGGAAAATACAAACAAAAATACAAGCAGAAATGACAGACTTAAAAAACTTGGTAAGTGAAATGAAAAACTCAGTGGAGGGCCTCAGCAATAGAGTAACAGCTGCTGAGAATAAATCAGTGAACTCCAAGATGATATGCAGAGACTCTCCAGAAAACAGCAGAAAATGGAAAAGAGCCTCAAAATAAACCAACAGATATCAAGAGAAAATCAGGATGAAGCCAAGAGAAATAACATAATAATCATTGGAGCCCCAGAGGGACAGGAAG